ATTTAAGCCACCCTAGCTTATAATAGTAAAATGCAGTGAACAATGCCATCTGCATTAAGAAGGCAGTGCCCGTGTCTGTTTATTTGCTGCATTGTTGGTGCCAACCTGCTACTCACATTGGTTACCATCTTCACTGTGTCCCCAGCACAGTGATGGCCCCACACACATTCTCATTGGTTTTAAGAAAACTGAACTATCACCCTCTCATTTTACATGTCTGCAAACTGTGGCCTAAAGAAAAAAAAAAAGTAAAAATAATGGTTAAATTAATGGTTTGGAGCTCATGGATTAGAGTTTAGTGCTATTTTTTTCACACCAAAATGGCTACAAATTTTGGTCATTTAATCTCCCTACATGTTGACAAGAATTCTGAGAATGCAAACATGACAAGTGAGCAGAAACCAGTGCAAGTTAAAATATCCTACTGAGCAGTAGAGATGATGAACCAATAGGGGTTTATTTTTTTTAAAAGGACAAAAACGATATTAATATACTTTTAAGGTCAAGTAAATAAAATGAAGTAATAAAATAAAGATTTCCCTTTTTAATTTTCAGACAGGAACATAGAAATTCTGCATGAGATAGTATTTTTCTGTAGTATGTATCTGGAAAGAAATATTCAATAAATATTGAAAACAAATTCTTTAAATAGAGCCAGGTTTTAAATTTTTCCGAAAATTTATTTAACAGAATTAACCTGTGGAAAAGTGTAACGAAATCATTAAAACACTCATACACCTAACCTACAAGAGAACCCCTAACCAGGGGCTCTGCCTGCTTTTATGTTTTTCTTCAGCCCAGGCAAACCTTGGCTAAAAGTTACCGGGTGGACTTCTAGGGATAGTGCCACCTACAGGATGCACATGAAACATGCACAGGTCATTGCCATTAGTATCTCCCAACAGGGGAGTGAGGAGTGTGTGTGTGTGTGTGTGGGGGGGGGGGGGGGGGCAGAGGAAATTATGTCCACAATATAATTAGGGCCGTGGTAGCCCTGTGCTATTGTCCTGCTTGTCCTTCTACCTGGAACTTGAGTAGTGACTGGATAAAGAAGAAGTAACAATATTCAAATGCTAACCAGATGCCAAGCACTTCACACATCTTAACTCATTTATTTTACCACACCACACACACCCTTGTCACCCTCTAGACCAGTGAGTGGTTCTCAGCCTTCCTAATGCGGCGACCCTTTAATACAGTTCCTCATGTTGTGTGACCCCCAACCATAAAATTATTTTCGTTGCTACTTCATAACTGTCATTTTGCTACTGTTATGAATGGTCATGTAAATATCTGATAGGCAGGATGTATTTTCATTGTTACAAATCGAACATAATTAAAGCATAGTGATTAATCACAAAAACAACATGTAATTATATATGTGTTTTCCGATGGTCTTAGGCAACCCCTGTGAAAGGGTTGTTCGACCCCCAAAGGGGTTGTGACCCACAGGTTGAGAACTGCTGCTCTAGTCAGAAAGAGAGAAAAAAGCAAATAATTTGCCCAAAGAGACACAGGTAGAAAGTGCTAGACTTGACATTTGAAACTGAGTTGGTCTGGGTTCCAGTCTAGTTTCTTTTAGCTCTAGTGCACACTAGCCACTCTGAATTAAAGGAATGTAATTACTGGCAGCTACGTATGTGAACAATGCCTGTAGGCTTATTGCATCACACTACAAGGGGTGTGTGTGCGTTTACATACATGCACATACATATGCAGACTGTTCTCTCTATTGAAAACACAAATGTTTCCCCTTAGTTCCTGGATTTCCATCAGTTACTCTAGTTTTCTGTTTGTTTTTTCATGAAAGAGCATTGAAACTGAATCTTTCAAGGGCCCCTGACATAAAACCGTGGAAAGGCAGCTGTGCTGAGCCTGTGGTGGACACAAGCGTTAAGACCTCCCTCGAGGAGCGGTGCGTTCCCTGAAGGGAGCTCATGACACGTTGAGAAGAGGTAGACGGGAAGACAAACAGCATCCACACTATTTTGTATTATGTTGTATCATTCATTCTGAAGGGACTCTCCAAATTTTAAGTGCCGGCATTCGATTTTCTGCACAAAAATGCATTTTATGTTCAAATATATATGTATACTAGTAATTGAATGATCCACACCTCGTCTCCACTCTGTTAAATCCAGAGTTTACTCTAGTCAAGTCTACCGAAAGAAACACATTTCAATGGACCAATCACAGTTAATAAGGAGACAGTGATGAATACAGAGAAAGTACCTAAGACACTAAAATTCAACAATGTCTGAAAATAATAACTATGATAGCCTTCACATATTCCTAAAATGTGTCATTTTATGTGGATTTGTTTTTCAAAGAACTCGTGAGTAATAGAACATATACTTTCCAATTTTATCTACAGCCAAATCAATTTGCAATAAATTTTAAGTTATAGAATGCCTAGATATTTCAAGGAATGATATACTGCAAATAGGTAAAAACAAATAGCATTCAAAGTTAATCTGATATTAAAGAACCACCATTTCCTGCAGAGTGAAAACATAGAAAGATTTGCAAAAAAGGCAAAGTAAATAAAATGATCACTAAATCTATTGATAATGTTATTAAGGCAATCTGAGACGCTTTAATGATTAGTTGTATAAGTATGGTTTCTTGGCCATGTAGGAAAAGGAAGAAAAAAAAGGTCAATAAACATAATCATGCATGCTCTATGAGCTAATGAGTTAGAAGTAGAAAAAAATCTTAAACTTAATGGAACCATTACAATTGCCATAGGTATCTAGCTAATTCTACTAATAACTAGCCAATCCCAGTATTAGTATCGAGAACTCAACTCTGACCCAACACCACTCAATTTCAAACTGCATTTAGTTTTATGCTCCATTACTTGAACATTTATATTAATTTTTAACATTAGACTTAAGTTCACTGCAGAGTCAAGTACGCAATTTTGCTGGTATTGCAGCAGGTTTTTTGTTTTTTCTACGATGAGTTATTAGTCCACAAAATGGAAATGTTTCTAATTAGGATTCTCTATAGAGATACCAGAAGGTAATTGGTTAGGCCAAAAAGAACCTTCATGATATCAGGAAAAGGTTGAAAACACTTTAGATGTGAAAATAAACAATAAATTTGGGAATGAGAAAGATCGTCAAACAGAATATTCTCAATAGGGATTAGATCATATTTTAGATGCTGCTTAAACTTTGAAAGTTGGTATCCTTACTCCAAATTGCAGAAAATGCCTTTATAATGTTAATGCAAAATAACGTATGTTAAAGCATGCTTACCAATATGCTGAGAGTGTTTAGCATGCAACATGGGAATGGATCAGACTCTCACATTTCATTTCAGAAAACAAAGGTGAGCTATTTGGGTCTGACTCATGTTCCCACTTTAGTTTAAGATCTCGATCTAGTGCATTGGAAAGATTAAATTGTTTTAAATTGCTTTTGGCATCTAATCAGATTTGGCTGCCACCCTCCTACAGACAATGAAACCACTCCTTTCTTGTTAGCTTTTCATTTAATACAATTAAACTGATGTATGTCTACCTTACAGAGTCCTATCAAGTTCAGGTAGTTATTTCATGAAAATAGGTTATCATAAGAATACACAGTTAGTGACATTAGTAGATCAATATACAATTATTTTCCTATGACCATCCAGAGATAAAAACCTGGCTTAGGAGACAGGTGAAATGAGCATGTGCAGAAATATTAGTCGACATAAAAATATCCTAAAGAAGGTAGGTCACTGCTATTAGTCATGATAAGAGTACCTCCTGAGATATGTAAGTCAAAAGAAAGTTTATGTGGCAGAATTATGTGAGGAAACTTATAATAGTGCCTGCCCACAAACCATGCAGTTTGGAAACAGCCAAGAAACAAAACCATAGAGAAGGAGAGATAAATACAACATGTATTAGGGGTTATTATTCAACTACGCGGGTTCACTATGACCCTGGAAATATAGCAAAAAATAGTTATGGAAAAGAAGCTCTTTCTTATGCTCAGTAGCTAATTTTCAAACATATGTACCTGTATCTGAAACTTTGAGCATTTCACACATTTTTCTGTATCTGAAAAAAAAATGGATCCAGACTGATATTGTGTATCAATAGAGCTGAAAACAGTTAATATAAAGGCAGCCAAAAGCAAAGTTCAATAAGAATTCTAAAAAAGCATATTCTTCTGATTGCTGATAAAGTACCTCTGACGTACATTTTGCTCATATTGGAAAACAATAACTTACTGTTCCATTCTCCTAGAAAGGATGAAATATCTATATTAAGATGATTTTATAAACTTTTTAATTAAAAAAGCTAGATTAAAGTGTCTAGATCAAACAGTAATAATTAGACCTTTAGAAATAATATATAACTCCAGCTTGACAATATATATTTCAAAATCTAAGTTAATTAAACCTTCTTTTCACATAATTTATGATATAAACATTATTTATAGATCTCCATTCAAAAATGTCCCAGGGCATTAAATCTATAAACATAACACATATCTTTTAATAACCTTTTCTGTAAGAAATGTATACCCTTTGGTACAATGTATTCATATAAGGAGACATTTAAAGAGTACATAAAATTTTCTTATCCATGTGATTATAAGCATTAAAGAGGAACTACCGAAACATATTAATATGATTTGAAGGGGAAGGAGTGTTAAAACTGTAGAGGTAGTACCAATATTCAAAAGTTCCAGCCATATTATGATGCAGTGAATAAATAACATATTTGACTGGGACTCCCACATATTATGTACATTTAAAGAATACAATATGAGACTCCTAGAGACAGGTTTAAATTATATACAATAGACTTGGTGAATACATGACCAAAACAGAACCAGTAATAATTAAATTATAGCTTAGAAGTTGGGTGTGACCAGGAGATGGTCTAATTTATGTCGCAGATAGAATAGTTATCCTTCTTTAACCCCGTTTAATGAGCATGCCTAATACCAAATTTCAAAATGCACGCCTTGTCCTTCTGCCACGCCTTCGCAACTTACCGCTTTGTACGTTCTCTTCTGCCCAGCGTGCTTCCGAATTTGTTCTCCATTTGGCCCTGTCTCCACGTGCATGGAGTAGATGATGTCGAAGAAATCTTCGACCACGGCCACCCGCCGCAGGGACAGCTTCTCGTCCACCCCTACGCCATCCTGAAACAGAAGCAGAACAAGCAGCACGAAATTAGTAAAAAAAAAAAAAGTGTATTTAACACACAGTGAACATAGAAAGTTGCTTCAACAAAAACATTTTCACACACTGAACCAGGGCATGTGACTAACTTGTAACTTTCTCAGTCACGGCCCTGCACTGGGACACACACCAGGGCTCCAGCCGAAGCAGTTTGCCCTGTGAGATGAGAGGGACAGGAAAATGGACGTTTTCCCTGTGTTGGGGCAGAATGGGCTAATTCTCACAGTGGCCCCAAGCTCTTTTCAGCCTCAGGGGCAGACCCTGCCATTTGGCCCCCAGGCCTTCAGTTCACTCACATATTCACAAACACACAAACAGCGACAACAAAACATCTGGTAAAGCAATAATTTGTAAAAATGTGGAGCTGAAATAAATCTTTGATTTTATTGATTTTATGTGTTGACCGTTGAATAAATTTACCCTAATTATATAAAAATAGCACGTTGGTAAACCAAATTATGAACCTTTAATCTGCAGCATTCTTTAATATCTTCTAAAGTGTTTGTTACGAACCATATTTTTTTTTAAAAGAAGGGAAACAGGAGAGAACCAAGATGGCGGCATAGGTTAACGCCGGAGTTTGCTGCCTTGAACAACTACTTCAAAAGTGAAACTAAAAAACTGAACGGACATCACCTAGAACCACAGGAACGCTGGCTGAGTGGAAGTCCTACAACTAGGAGGAAAGAGAAACGCATACGGACACTCAGAGGAGGCGCAGTGCTGAAGTCAAATTCTGAGGTGCGGAGTGCGAGGAGCCGGCTGGCGGCGGAGGGCGCGGTTGGCGTTTTCAATCGGGAGGGAGTCGCAGACTCTGAGCTCCAGATACGGGCGAGTCTTTAGGGACCCAGACTCAAACGGGAGAAGCGGGACTGTCTGGCTTCGGTCAGAGCGAGTGCAGCTTTCTCTCCGAGGTTTGCAGCGGGTGCTGGGACTCAGAGAGGCAGAGCCCCTGGGGACAGGACTGAGAGCCGCCATAACTGCTCTCTCCGGCCGGCCCACCCTGTTGATCCTGTGAGATCTGCCCCGCCCAAGCCCTGCACAGAGGCATTTGCCGGATAGCCTCAGGCAAAGGCTAGATTAGCACCTCCCTAGAGGACAGAAGTTCTCTCACTGCAGACACAGCTGATTCTCATAGCCACTTGGCCTGGAGGTCAAACCCTCCCTGGTATTAGCTACAAAAATCAAGGTTTAACTATAAGACTGCGCACAAAGACCACTAGGGGGTGCACCAAGGAAGCATAACAAAATGCGGAGACAAAGAAACAGGACAAAATTGTCAATGGAAGATATAGAGTTCAGAACCACACTTTTAAGGTCTCTCAAGAACTGTTTAGAAGCCGCCGATAAACTTAATGAGATCTACAAGAAAACTAATGAGACCCTCGATGTTATATTGGGGAACCAACTAGAAATTAAGCATATACGGACTGAAATAACGAATATTATACAGACTCCCGACAGCAGACCAGAGGAGCGCAAGAATCAAGTCAATGATTTGAAATGCGAGGAAGCAAAAAACACCCAACCGGAAAAGCAAAATGAAAAAAGAATCCAAAAATGTGAGGATAGTGTAAGGAGCCCCTGGGACAGCTTCAAGCGTACCAACATCAGAATTATAGGGGTGCCAGAAGATGAGAGAGAGCAAGATATTGAAAACCTATTTGAAGAAATAATGACAGAAAACTTCCCCCACCTGGTGAAAGAAATGGACTTACAGGTCCAAGAAGCGCGGAGAACCCCAAACAAAAGGAATCCAAAGAGGACCACACCAAGACACATCATCATTAAAATGCCAAGAGCAAAAGATAAAGAGAGAATCTTAAAAACAGCAAGAGAAAGAAACTCAGTTACCTACAAGGGAATACCCATACGACTGTCAGCTGATTTCTCAACAGAAACCATGCAGGCCAGAAGAGAGTGGCAAGAAATATTCAAAGTGATGAATAGCAAGAACCTGCAACCAAGATTACTTTATCCAGCAAAGCTATCATTCAGAATAGAAGGTCAGATAAAGAGCTTCACGGATAAGAAAAAGCTAAAGGAGTTCATCACCATCAAACCAGGATTATATGAAATGCTGAAAGGTATCCTTTAAGAAGAGGAAGAGGAAGAAAAAGGTAAAGATACAAATTATGAACAACAAATATGCATCTATCAACAAGTGAATCTAAGAATCAAGTGAATAAATAATCTGATGAACAGAATGAACTGGTGATTATAATAGATTCAGGGACATAGAAAGGGAATGGACTGACTATTCTTGGGGGGGAAAGGGGTGTGGGAGATGCGGGAAAAGACTGGACAAAAATCGTGCACCTATGGATGAGGACAGTGGGTGGGGAGTGAGGGCGGAGGGTGGGGCGGGAACTGGGAGGAGGGGAGTTACGGGGGGAAAAAAGAGGAACAAATGTAATAATCTGAACAATAAAGATTTAATTAAAAAAAAAGAAGGGAAATAGCAAAATAACTTGTAAAAATTCAAACAAACAATATTTCTAGGAAAAGAAAGAAAATAGAACAAAGTAGCATAAAGAGAGAAATGGAGGATTTCAACCTAAAAAAAAAAGAGTGTTTTGAGTGACAACCCCCCAAAAATGCATTAATTTTATACCAGCATTTCATTTGCAAAACTAGAGAAAATATAATTGCACTTCTTTCCAAGATTGATGATTTACCCAAGAAAACAGTATTGAGGTCCAAGTTTATGCTTCTTCACTGAGAAGATAATTACAAGTGTTTACGGAGCAGATTCATTCTCCTTCAGTACAAACAAAAGTCTGAGTCCCTAGGAGCCCTTGCCTTCGGCACAAAGAGGCCTGGGCAACGCTGCCACTGCCGGGCCATATGCTCAGGCTGCACGCCGCGCTGCCCTTGTCAGATGCTGTCTGGCAGGAGTGACTTCCACTGCCTCCTCCACGCCTGCTCTGCTGCTGCCCTGGAAGCACAAATCACTTTCCCTTTCAAGGTCCCGATTAACACGCGTCACTGAGGCTGCTTGCTTCCCTGCTTTTCTTCTTAAATATGTTTTTATTGACTTCAGAGAGGACGGGAGAGGGAGAGAGAGCGAGAAACGTCAATGATGAGAGAGAATCATTGATCGGCCGCCTCCTCCACGCCCCACACTGGGGATCGAGCTTGCACCAGGGCATGTGCCCTGACCAGGAATCGAACCATGACCTCCTGGTTCATGGGTGGACGCTCAACCCCTGGGCCACGCCAACCGGGTACCCCTGCTTTTTCACCATCTCACTGCACTAACATCTATTAACAGCTTACAGAGTAAACAAGGGCAAGGTAAAAGGGAATCTTCTCTCCCTGAAAACAGATTTATTTTTACGTAAATTTAGGGTTCATTTGAAGATTTAGTCAACTGAGCTAACTCCTTTGGTCATCACTGTGGATAATGCAGTATTTGGCTGTGACTGAGCAGCACAAAGGCATCTTCTCGCGTTTTCCCTTAACGAACAGACACAATCATTAGCTGAAAGAGTAAAGTTACACCCGTAGTACTAAGAACAAGAGCGAGGCAAATAAAAATGAGTTTTAGAGATGATAATATTCATTGAACACTCAATGATAACAAAATTAATAGGTCAAAAGACATATGGTGTTCATGGCCAATGGCCTATAATGCATGAGTATATTTGGATGGAGATGCTAACAAAATAAAAAATAATTTAAAGCCTTTACAGCTAAGAAACCAATCTTGTGAGTCATAATCCCAGGGGGAGGGAGGGGGAGGAGGGAGAGACAATTTTAGGAAAGCTCTGAGAATAAGAATTGAGCTATGTGCATTTGACAACAAAGTAAAAATTATTGACCTAATTATAAGGCAAGGAATTAAAGCCTAGAAATAAAGGTTCTTTACTCTAAATTGATCAGAAGAGCTACAGCAGACTTTCTCTGAGAAGTAAATGTGAACATTAATTAATGAGATGTGGAAGTAAGATCTTGTCAAAACTATCACACTTCCCGGAGAATCTAAATGCATTCTGTGCCATGATTTATTGCTATTATTATTATTAATGTTACTGTCTCCTAGATTCACACTATCAAAGTCTGAATCAGTCTCTTATCCAGTAATCAAATAATTCTACCTATGGGCTAGCTCTCCAATCTACTCTCTCCCCTTTTTCTACTGGGCTCCTGACTCATGAACCCAGGAAATGACCTTTGGAACCTCCACCAGAAATCACATATAATGCATGTGCCAAATCTACTTTGGCTGATGTGTGTGTAGTGTTAAGTCTTGTTTTGACTTGGTGAGGAAGAGTACTTTTATGGGTTAGCATGCTTACAAGGGGCTAAAAACTGTGAGGTGACACATGTACTGAGTTTCTGCCAACCTTGGCTTACCTTTGGGAACAGCATTCTCTTTACCACTTTTCCACTAATTTCTCTCTATTCCAATGTGTCCTCAAATAGTCCAAATAATCTTCCTTGAAAATTATAACTATCTCTGAAACTAATATAATATTAAATGTTAACTGTAATTCAAAAATAAAAACATGGTAACTAAATCAACTTAGGATTTATAAATTTGTACTAGACTCTCACACCTCTAAGATACAATTCACACTCCTTAATATATTACACATTTAAATATTCTTGATCTGATTCCAATTTACTTACCACTACCCACCTTATCTCTTATCATTCCAACACATTCTAATCACAATGAACTCAACTTTCCCTGACATTTTTTATGAAATTTCCATAAAACTTATGACTTCCCCATTGAGTCTAAGCTTTCTGCAGGCAAAAACTGCATCTGTCTTTTTCACTGCTGCATCACAAGAACATAGAATTGTACCAAGCAGAAAATAAATGGGCCATAATTTTTGAGTAGATAAATCAGAAATCAATAAATGAATGTTCTCTGCTTTTCCCCTTGAACAGCGGTTCTCAACCTATGGGTCGCGACCCCTTTGGCGGTCGAACGACCCTTTCACAGGGG